CCCCCAACCGAAGCCCATGTCTCTACCTTCCGGACCAAGCATCAGGCACAGGGAACGCTTCCATCGTCTTCCCCAGGCCAGTCCTCCTGAGTTTGCGACTCTAGTCCCAGGGGGCAGCCTGAAGGAGGCTGTTTGATGGGCTTGGAGACTCCTCTTGGCCCCGAGGCCTGGGAGCGGGCAGACGCGAGCCTGCCAGGGCGTGCGGCAGGCCAGGAGTGGGGAGAAGAAAGGGCCGGCCGCAGCCGGGCCGCACAGACACTGGGGACGCTCCGACACCAGGGCTCATTTCACAGCAATTCATCAGGCTGAACATTTACGTTTCAGTGTTTTCCAGTAAGTTTGTTCGCATTATTAGTTTTAAAACAATATACAGGGTCCGGCACAAATAACGCCCCTTTTTTTTAATACAAAATCTTTTATTACACAGTCATAAGCATGTAATTCTGTAACATAACATCACACTCACGCACACCATAGGACATTTTAGGTGAAATGTTCAAATTAAAACTATAGATTCTTACACCCTACCAACCACACTCAAGTATGTTAGTTACTTCTGCCGGACCCTCTCTTTTAAAATCAAATAAATGCTTAGCACCATGTCTAGAACATAAGTGCTTGATAAATATGGGTGGAGAAGAATCCAAATGTACTCACTGCGGCTCAGATGTGTGAAAGCATGTTGCTTGGTAGCAGGCTTGCAGCTGGGAGGGAAACTGCCATTTTAAAGAAAGGTGGTTTCTTTTGGTTTAAAACAGTCTCTTTTGGACCAAAGTCCATTCCCTCAGGGTTTCTCCCTCCCCATTCTTCCTCCCAGGAGACATCTGGGCAGAGGGAGGCTGGGTAGGAGGTCAGATCTGTGAGTTCCCCTGCCAGCCCCATCCGGCTCCGCTCCAGGTCCATCTCCCTTCCGTCTGTGAGCATAGCCCCCACCCCCTGCACCTGCTGTGAAAGTGATTGCAGCTGGCCACTCACAGAGGCCCCAGCCGCTGGGCCAGGCTCAGCCTTCACTCCAGCCCAAGCTGCTCATCCTCTGGAACTCAGCAGCAAATGCCACCAGCTCACAGCTCGAACTGGACCTCTCAGAAGCCCTGCCAAGTGCCTCGCCACGCCAATGCAACCCTGGGCCTTGATGCTAACTCTCCATTCTCAGCTACCTGGTTACCTCGTGTTGGCATTAAGAGGAAAGATGGGAGGGAGGTTCAACACGCAGAGCTCTGGGAAGGCATTCGCCAGGGCACGTTGGTTTCCTCAGTCACTTCTCGCAAGCCAGTAAGGCAGGCTCTTCAGCTGAAGGTTCCCATCCAGCTTTAGTGATGTGGGCTGACTTGTGTTCCCCTAAATTCAAGTGTCAAGACTCTCACCCTCAATATGATCGTATTTGCAGATGGGGACTTTAAAGAGGTAATGAGGTATGAGGATGGGGCCATAATTTTGTTAAGTGTCCTTATAAAATGTGAGACAGCAGAGAGACCTCCTTCCCTCGTCTTTTTCTGTCTCCTCTTCTCCCCCATGCCTTTTCCCCTTGCTCACTTCCTCTCTCTCCTGCCTCTCCTACTTCCCCTCCATCTCTCTCTTTCTCTCAACGTCTCAGAGAAAAGGCCATGCGAAGACATAGGGAGAAGGCAGGCATCAACAGAGCAAAGAGAAAGGCTTCCCCAGAAACCAACCCTGCTGGCAACTTGACCTTGGACTTCCAGTCTCCAGAGCTATGTGAAAATAAATATCTATTGTTCCAGCCACCCACTCTGTAGTATTTTGTTATGACAGCCTGACAGTCTAAGACACCTAGAGATCCCAAGACAGTGCCTTCTGGGAACTCAGACGTTCTCGGCTCGGAGCAGGTCCAGTGCCTGGGGTCACTGCTGCCTGCCTCCTGGGCCTCCCTGCTCACTGGAGCTACAGCCCCACACTTCCCCTGCCTTGTTCTCTGGGACCAGGTTTTAGCTTCCCTCCAAAGTCCATCAGTCCTCACTCCCATATTTCTCTTGGTCCTTACCATGCCATTCCATTGGCCTAGGAACCCATCTGCAATGCAGGGACATTCTTTAGGAGGTTGTTTTCATGTGATTTCCCCATCGATGGCCCCACTTCAAGCATTGTCAGACACGGGCTATGAATGGTTTCTGCGTGTGAGGAGGGAGTGCTCATGCCAAAGAGGGTACACTTCCCCTGCTCAGGCCCCCTCCTGGGTGACAGGCACCTGTAAGGAAGACCCAAGAGCTTCCTATGGAGGCTGAGCTGTCTCTGAGGAAGGGCTGAATCCTTAAGGTTCTGCAAATGATCTTCCCATGCCCTGAGTGCTGTCAGTATCCAGCCTCAGGGCTTCAACACAGCAAAAAATGAGTTAGCCTAGGGTTGGAGAGAGGGCTCTTCAAAGCAAAGGAGCCAGCACAGAGCTCTGGGGAAAGGCCACAGGTTTTCGAGTCAGGGTCCTATGGTTGTGGTTTCTGGCTGTGACCTTGCTGGGGCATCTCAAGCAAGTCATGTCCTCCGAACTGCAGTCTTCCCTCTGTTAAATGGGAGTAGAGGTCCTTGCTTTGCAGGGTTGTCACGAAGACTTCACATTCTTTATGCAAATGCCTGGTTTGGGTTTTTGCAGATTTACTTTGTTCACCTTCTTCTTCCTGAGGCAGTCGGGCCAACACATCTGAACTGTAGCTCTCCCTCTGCTTTGTAGCCTGTGTGTGTATGTGTGGGGGAGGGAGGTAGTGGAGGGAATCAGCAGGGAGGAAGGAAGGCGTGGCTGCCTTTTAAAAACTCTGATTTGTCTTCATTTGGTACAAAAACTATGTCCTCAGCAAAAGGGGTCTAAATGTAATCTCTGCCCAAGCACATCATTAGGATCCATTCTCAAATGATGCATCAGGGAGCAATCATTCCCAGACCACACGCCGATGACCTTGGTGAAGGGCAAAGGAGATTTTTCAAGTGTGGGTGAACAAATAGATGAAAGGCCTTGTGAAGGCCTCGTTTTGGAACACGCCCAGCTCTCCTGGGACTGCTTGCTCTCCTTGGAGAACCATAATGGAATGTACAGAGTCCAGCCACTCAGGGTCTGCAAGAAATGCCCTTCAGGGACAGGTCCTTCCTGGGAGTCATTTTCCAGCTGTTTCTCAGATACTTGGTGATACCACTTTGGGTGTGTTATGCCTTACAGTGGGGACACTCAGCAAGATGGGTCCTCTTCCTACCCGCCTGCTTTCTTGTGCTATTTTGAAATCTAAGATAAGGGTAGCACAGGGAGGTGGGAGAAAGAACACAATGCCAAGGGAGAGCTCTCTGTGTCTGTCCTGCGTGTTTGGGACTTCCAGTGTGGGCCATATGGGGGAGAGGTTAGATCCCACTGGTGTAGAGAAAAGAGCAGTGGATCACACCCCCAAAGAGTGGCACTTAGTTCCACCTCCTAATAGGTTGTGTAAACCTGTGCAACGAATTTACTTTCAGAAGGCTTGTTGCTTCGCATGTAAAAGGAAAACGCTCACAAAGCTATCTCCAGGCTGTGGTGATGAGTAAATAGTATACTAGGGGAATGCAAAGGGCTTAGCTGAAGAGTAAAGTACTACATGTACATTGTGGTTAGGACTCTGGCTTGGGTGTGTCAGCCTATAGTACTGTCTATCAATAGCCAGCGCCATTCCCGGGAGTGATTTGTGTCTTGTGACTTGGCCAAAGTATACAAAGTGCCCCTGGGTTCCAAGGGTGACTTTCCAAGCTCCTCAGCAAGTCCCCAGCTCTCCCTGCCTCCCGCTGAGAGGAGGAAGCCTTTGTGAAGATGCGCACTGGGGAGGCCCGTGCCCTGTGGGATTTGAGTTTAGTGCGGCTCCCAAGCATCTCCTGATGGGCTGGTATCACCGGCTCGTAGGAATTTGGGGATTTGAAGATTTGGGGATTGTTACTGCAGTAAAACCCAGTCTGACCTCACTGATACACCTGGATACTGTTTCTTTATGCTATTTAATAGCAAAACCAAAGAAAGGAAAACAACACACAAAGAAAACACATACATAGTAACACTGAAGGCAGCGGTCTGGGGAGGCCTCAGGAACGGCCCCACCCATACACAGTAACACTGAAGGCGGGGGTCTCAGGACGTCTCTGGGGATGGCCCCACGCCTACACAGTAACACTGAAGGTGGCAGGCACAGGCCTCAGGGCGGCCCTGGGAGGCCTCAGGGCGGCCCCACGCGTACACAGTAACACTGAAGGCCGCGGTCTCAGGGACGTGTCGGGGGAACGCCCCACGCAAACACAGTAACACTGAAGGTGGAGGGCACGGGAGGCCTCAGGGCGGCCCCACGCAAACACAGTAACACTGAAGGTGGTGGGCACGGGAGGCCTTAGGGCGGCCCCACGCGTACACAGTAATACTGAAGGCCACGGTCTCGGGGACGTGTCGGGGAACGCCCCACGTGAACACAGTAACACTGAAGGCCGCGGTCTCGGGGACGTGTCGGGGGAACACCCCACGCGAACACAGTAACATTAAAGGCCGCGGTCTCAGGGACATGTCGGGGGAACGCCCCACGCGTACACAGTAACACTGAAGGCCCCGGTCTTGGGGACGTGTCCGGGGGACGGCCCCACGCGAACACAGTAACACTGAAGGCCGCGGTCTCGGGGACGTGTCGGGGGAACGCCCCACGCGTACACAGTAACACTGAAGGCCCCGGTCTTGGGGACGTGTCCGGGGGACGGCCCCACGCGAACACAGTAACACTGAAGGCCGCGGTCTCGGGGACGTGTCGGGGGAACGCCCCACGCGTACACAGTAACACTGAAGGCCCCGGTCTTGGGGACGTGTCCGGGGGACGGCCCCACGCGAACACAGTAACACTGAAGGCCGCGGTCTCGGGGACGTGTTGGGGGAACGCCCCACGCGTACACAGTAACACTGAAGGCCCCGGTCTTGGGGACGTGTCCGGGGGACGGCCCCAAGCGAACACAGTAACACTGAAGGCGGCGGTCACAGGAGGCCTCAAGGCGGCCCCAGCAGGGCGCTACTTGCTGCTGCTTTTGGGAAGGGGCCGGTAGACGCCGATGACCACGGCGTGGTCCCTCTCATAAGGCTCTAGGGTCAGCTGCTCTTGAGGCTTTAAATTCTCCTGCTGCAACTTCCTCACCTCAGAGGCAAACACCGCCTCAGCAGATGCAGTGGAGTCGATGCAGTTGGCCTTGATGGAGATGAGAAAGTGGCCCCCATTGCGCAGGAAAGTGTGGGCGTTCAGAGCCAAGATGCGGGACTGGTCCGGCTGGGCCACGTCCGCGAAGATCACGTCCACCATCCCGACGAGCATGCGGTACTTGAGCGGGTGCCGGGCGTCTTCCAGGACCGGGATGATGTTGGTTCGCTTATTGGCCACATTGACCAGGTCGCGCCCGGCGCGGTGGGAGAACTCCACCGCGTAGACCAGGCCTTCGGGGCCGATGATGTCGGAGACGTGGGAGACCGTGGTTCCTGAGGCGGCGCCCAGGTACAGCACCCTGGACTTGGGCTTGATGTGGATCTGGTCGACCCCGCCCAGGATGGCCGCCGCCAGCTTGGAACGGAACGGGTTCCAGGTGCGGTACTCCCGCTTCACGCCGCCCTCGGTCACCGTGACCCGCCGCTCACCGTACACCGAGTGGCCGGGCACCATGTTCAGCGTGACCAGTGCGTCCTCTGCCCCGCGGTAGATGAAGACGCCCTCATGCCGATGCGGCTCCACCGACACCGTCTTGATACCCTTCTTGCGGCGGTTTTTGCCCTTGGCCACGCCGCCACGCCGCTGCCCGCTGCCGCCACGGTCCCTGGCCTCGCCACCGCCGCCACGTCCCCGGCCCCGGCCGCTGCCGGAACCGCGCGATCGTCCCCCGAAGCTGCCCTTGCCTCCCGGGCCACTACCATCGCCGCCTCCTCCTTTGCTGCCACCTCGCCCGCCGCCCCAGCCGCTGCCCCAGCCGCCGCCCCAGCCGCCGCCCCAGCCGCCGCTCCCGCGGCCCCCAGCGCCGCCCCCGCGCGAGCTAACCGCAGACTTCATGGCGCGCCCTGGGCGCTGGGCAGCGGTTGTCGGCGGCGGCTGGTGGCCCCAGACGGTGGCCCTGGCGCAGGACGAGGGCTGGCGGCCGGGGGTGCTGGTTGCCGCCGAGTGTGCCGTGCGGCAAAGGAGGGAGGCTGTGGGCCGCGGTCGCAACCCGCTTTGCCGCAGTCCCCGCACCCCCGGGGGCCGCGCTTTGACGCAGCGACTGGCGTGATTGCATCATTCCCGTTTTGGCGAGCCTGTAGCCCCGGAAGCCCCCCTTCCTGGACCCCGCGCGCAGACGCAGCCCGCTGTCTGGTAGCTCTCCCGGTCCCCCTTTCCCACCTTCTGCCTTCTCGGGGACCCCTGGCACCGCTCCAGGGCCGCAGGGAAGAGCTGTCTCCTTGGCAGGGCAGGGGCAGACAAGCACGGGCATCAGCCCTCGCCGCACCACCTGCTTGCTGCGTGGTCTCAGGAAGCTCACCTGCTCTCTGCGCATCTTGTGCCAGTTTGAGCAAGCTTCTCGAGCTGTCTGCATCTCATCGTCCTATCTGCAAAACAGAACCAGCCTCAAAGGTTTGCTTTAAATCACCGCACACACCGACTCCGGCTATGGCACATGCTACATGTTCTGTAAGTGTTTGTGCTACTGTTGCAAAAACGTGTATCTTTTGGTCAACCTTTTTATAGAGGTATAGCTTACATACAAAGAAAGTACCATTCTGTTTTGTTTCAAATAGACGTATTGCTGTTAGAGCTTACGCCACTTGAGGATGGCTCTGCTGCTCTTACACAGCATTGGTGGGATTGCAAATTGGTGCACATACTTGAACAAAACACTTAAACAATGAACCTAAAGTTCGACTTAACCACTTTGAACATGGTGTCCTAAAGGGATGGCCCAGCAGTTGCAGTGATGGTCGTCAGAACCACCGGAGAGGCTGGGCGCCGAAGCAGGCAGTGGCAGCGGTCCCTGCTGCCGTGGGGGTGGGGGTGGAACTCAGTGAAGGAGACTGATCCAAGAAATGCATAGGGGAGAGACACCACAGGGCCTTCTCATGGACTGGGCAGAGAAGCCAGGAAGGGGAAAAGTCCCAGACAGGGGCTGCAGACGCGTAGCGGCTCCCTGCCGGGGCCGGCTGCAGCCGTGGGTGCATTCTGCTTAGCTCTGCTCTCTCCCGTGAACTGTGCCAAATCCCAGACCCTGTTCCGGGAGCATGCGCCACCAAGAAACTGTTGGTTCTTCAGGGTGAACGAGTCAGACAGAGCCCTAAATCCTATAATACACCTCGGCAAGGCCAAAAACCTCATGCTTATCCTTCAGTTCTATACTTCAAAAATTTCCTTTCAGTCTGCAGTATTTTCTTGAGTACATAAAAACAAACCACCACAACACAAAAACAAAAAGAACCACTGGGAAGCACCAAGGACAGCAAACATGCCAACGCAAACGTTTGCCCGTTTGGCCAGCACCACGGACAGCGATATCTCTTGGGCCCGTTGTAGACACTAAGGCTGGGTTTGGGGCCCACCCAAGAGCTGAGGAAGGTGCCCTAAGCAATGGGCAGATGACCCTAGGAAGGGACTAAATGCTGCTTCAGTGAGAAAAAAGGCGCCTGAAAATCAGGGAAAATGTGAGGCAGGGGGTACTGAGTGTGCACACATTCCATCCTGGACCAGATTCTTGTCCCGAATTCATGGACAGCAATACCAGGTCTGGTTTTCCCTGAGGGCCAAGTGCCTCCTTAACAGGGACCAGAAGTCCATGCGTTGGAATGTGGACAAGGGGTCAGAGAGTGCAGTGGATCGATCCAGAGGTGGACGGGTCACATAAAACACTCTCCTTAGAGGCTCCTTTCATTACAAACTGAGGAGTGTTCTCTAACATGAGCTACGATTGGTGCTGTGGGTTGGAATTCCCCAAAATCAGACTCTGTAATGGTGAATTTTATGTGTCAACTTGACTGGCCCACAGGGTGCCCAGATATTTGGTCAAACATTATTCTAAGTGGTCCTGTGGGAATGTTTGGGGTCTAAAATGCACATTTAAGTCAGTAGGCTTAGTAGGGTGCCCTCTGTGATGTGGGTGGCCCTCACCCAACTGCTGAAGGCCTGACTCAGACAAAAGGCTGAACCTGCCCCTGACTTAGGGACAATCCATCTGCCCGGTGGCCTGTGCATGGGTGTGTCATCTCTCCCTGGTCCCACAGCAGCCTGCCCACCTGCAGACTTGACCTGCAGCATTGGCTCTGCAGATTTCAGACTTGCCAGCCTCCGTAAGTGTGTGAGCCATCAATATAGATGGATCCATCCATCTATCCTATTGGTTCTGTTTCCCTGGAGAACCCTAATACAGCCCCTGGCACCAGGACTCGGGTCCAGGTGGTATTTTCGCAGGTGACCCCAGGAACACATGTGGGGCTGAGGACATGAGAAAGGCTGAGAAATAGTGCATTAGTGCACAGATTACCACAGTGGGTTATTAGGGCTCAGCTGTCTGAGCACCTTGTGAGGAACCGTGAAGAGCCGCTCAGAACTGCTCCTCTGCAGGCAGGAGGCGGGCAGGCCTGGGCTTTAGTCCACCTGCTCTCTTCCCCTTCTGCCAGCTGCTGTTTCGGGGGTGTTCACTTCCTGCCCTTGAATCGCTCCTGTGCATGGCTAGCAGACTCCCCTGCTGCTGCAGAGAGCCCTCAGGCAGAGAAGCGGACATTCGAGGTGAAGTCCAAGGTGGGCGCAGGGGACCCTGGGTAAGGACATTGACAGGGCCTGTGTCCCTAGACCACTGCATCTCATATACAAGCAGAACTTCGTGACTTAGAAAATGCACACAAGCTCATAAAGCTTACTGTACCAGGAAAAGATGATTAAAGTACTAATGCTACCTGTAACACAGGTATTCAACTTACCTGCGCCAAACTTGCTTCAATGAGTGTTAATGTTTTCTACCGTGGTACAGAGCATCCTGGAGGTGTGCAGTTACATTTGAAGAACTTACTCTTTCTTTGCTGTTATCCAGGGTACGAACTACCAATCCTACACAATGACCCCTCTCCACTATACTCCAGGCTGCTGAAGACACGAACCCAACACCCAGAGGTCTACCAAACTTTTCCCTGGACTATTTTACATAACTCTGTTCACCACTCCAGCTGCAAGCCTTAGAGGGCTCACACACTGCCATGTCCTGACCTGTCTTCTCACGTGGCTGTGCTGTCACTCACTCTGCTTTACCACAGTACAAGTGTCTTCCAGGCTCCTGCTCATAGCCTCTGTTTTGTAAATGGACCGACATGGCCTTTCTCAAGCACTTCCTGTTCACTTCAGAACGGAGACTCTCGGGGATGTCCTGCATTCCTGTGTGATGAACTAAATGGAACCAATCAGCAGGGGTGGCTAGTGATCACAACCCCCAACGAGCAACATCCTGAATTTAGTCATACTTTGGAGTAATTACTGTAAACCAGCAATGGCAGTGTCCACCTCGCTGGTGCCGCCTATTCCCCCGGGTTTCGGGGGCTCACCCTACTCCCTAAGCTCCCTCCCAGGGCTCGAGGCAGCTCCCTCTCCACTCTGGCAGCGACAGTTCCTCCAGACAGCGCCCCGCTCCCGCCCCACGCCACCCACCGGCTTCATCGCGCTGCGGCTGTCTCCAGGGACCCGCTAAGGGCTGCAGAACCGCCCTCCCCCAAGGAGTGCAAGCCCAGGGCCACTCTCTCAGGCCTTTGCTCACTCACAGCCTCATCACTGGACAGCCCCAAAGGAACCGACACGAACCAAGTTTTGAACTCTTGCTTCTGACTGGAGGCATCCTGTCCCAGGCAGCATTTGGTGACCCCCAGGGACACCTTTCCTGCCCCCTGGCATTGATTCCTACCCGGCGCAGCCATTTGCTACAGTCTGTCGGGTGTAACGCCACAGCCTGGGAGCACCTATCCATCAGCAAGGCTGAATGTACCCCACCCATCCTGTGCGTGACCCAGGAACGCCACCAAGGCAGGGACTCATGCCAAGTACTAGCCTCATAAGGGGACCGATGTGTCAAGATCTTACACAGAATTTTTCATCTCAAGCTGCTCTTAACATTGAAATGTGTCTCAGTCCTAATGGCTCTTCAGCAGTGGGTACCATCTGTCCAAGATGTTTGCTAAGGTGGGCATTATGGCCCAGACATTTCTTCCTGACAGCCAATAGGAACACGGTCATTTACACTTTTGTTTGCGGTTGGCTTATTCTGTAAGATATGCCCTGGAGTGACCCTGATAATCACATCTGTGACTGGGCCTTAGTCATCACCATGGAGAACGTGAGTCCTACCCATAGACTTAAAAAGATACGTGAGAATCTCCGCTCTGCTTCTCTCATACAGCATTCCAGAAAACTGCCTGAGGAGTGACTGCCAGGGTTTCGGTATACCAGCGGCAAGGCTGTGACACTCCATCCCCACTCTCATCAGTGCTTAAACATTTGTGCATGAAGTGGCTTTCCCAACCTGTTTTCTCTGAGCCATATAGTTAGTTCACTTCCAAAGGGGACTCACAGGGGTTGCATCTCTATCCCCGGTGACAGCTGCAGCTGTATTCAGCCAAGAGGCTGGGTTATGATGCAGTAACACAACCCCCATTCTCAAAAGCTTCATACAACTATGTTTATTTCTTGCTTACATTTCATGTCCATTGAAGGTCCACGTAAGGCCTGTCCACATACTCACTGCAGGGCTTGGACACTAACATGAGAAACAAGAAGGCTTCCGTGGTCGCCACTGGGGAAGAAAATGCAGGGAGAACTCAATTCTTTGTTGTTTTGGCCTAGGGCTTGACAGAGTCAATTCTATTCAACCCATTGGCCAGAACGAGTCACTTGCCCTAGGTGAAAGGCAGGTGGGGAACAGGGGTGGCGTAACTGGTGAACAGGAAATGCTTTCGCCACAGGTGCCTGCTGCACGATGTCGGCTGGCCCACCTGGACCAGGGTACCCAGCACAAACACCGCGGACTAATTTAGTTTAATATGCATCTATTTAAA